CTCCCCCTCCCCCGGGCGACCCCTCCGGTATGGCCCGGGTATGGCCGCCCCCTCGGCCTCGGCCACCCCGCCACCAACCTGTGTGCACACGGTCGAGGCCCAGGCCTCCTGATTGCAGCCCCGGGTCGGCACGGCCACGGCCACGACCACGGCCCCTCACGAGCACACCGCCCGCCGCGCCTCTCCGGCCCCGGCCGCCGGCCACTGCTCGCCCCAGGCCGATCATCTGTCATCCCCTTTCGACAGCGCGAGCTTGTTCCCGCGCCCGGTCGGCTCTGCGCCCGCTGCGCTGCGGGGAGGGAGGGAGGGATGGTCAGTCGCTCGGACAATGAGGGATCCACGCGGCCACGGGGCACGCCCCACCCCCCCCGCAACACCTCCTCCCCCGATGTAAGCCGTCCGGGCCATGCGCCCTGCCGGGGTTTTTGTTTGACCGGCGCTCAGAATACAAAGGCGAAACACGGCAATCATATAAGCTATTTCAGATAACTTGGGACAGAAGAACAGCAACAGCACGAATAACAAAGGAGGCCTACGATTCGTCGCTTAAGGTAGAGGGGGAGACAGGGCGACGATCGCGGGGAGACTAGTTTTTCGTGATGTTCTTTCTTCTCAGTTCTCTTAAACAGCTTATTCGACCGATGTCACAACGTTCTCGGGACCATGACATTGCGGTCACTGGCTACTCACCTGGCTGTAGGCGGCCGTCGTGCGCGGCCTGGCCGCCCTCCAGGACGGAGCGCACGAAGATGGGCAGCGCGCCGCGCGGCGAGTCGGCGCCGCCCACCACGGTGAAGCCGAGCGCGCCGCAGCCGGGGCCCTTCCGCAGCTCGACGCGGAACTCGGTGGAGGGAGGCGCGCCGCAGCCGCCGCCACCCTCGCCGCCGCCGAGCAGGCCGTGGCCGTGGGCACCGCGTGCCTGCCGTCGGGCGCGCCGCTTCAGGCTGTGGTGCTGCGTCTCGCCCGGCGGCTCGAGGTGGTTCTCCAGCGGAGGTGAGCTGGAGCGGGAGGCCAGCGCCTGAAAGCGAAATCGACCAAACATGTACTACAAAAAAAAATCTCTTTTTTTGCTGTCACTGTAGCCGTGCACATGCTGCCGGCTGCCTCCACGTCGAATTGCCTAATGACGCATGCCTCGAGAGATAAGGGCCCACCTGGAGGGTTCACTCACTCGCACACACGCGCCCAGCGCCGCGCCCGCGCTCGATACGGACTGGGATGGCCCACCCGCGCCTACCCTCGCAAGACCGCGGCCGCGCCCGCCCCGCCCCGAACACACCCCGGCGTAACCTGCAGACACCTGTCCCACACACCCCCATGCGTGTGGCCGTGGCATTTAGGCCCCAGCAGAGCTAGAGCAGACGACCTTACTTCCCTCTACTCCAGCCGCCTCCGCCTTCCTCCTCCCCAGGCCCCCGCTCTGCTTCGATACCTCGCCGCGACCTTTCCCTGCACAGGGACTGCGTCTGACATTATCAGATCTTTGCAGCCCTGGTATGACAATAAGCAGAACGTCCCGGCCCACGAATAGCAGGCAGCGCTCCTACCCTTCCCCGCCCCGCCCATGTGGGGCGTCTGGCACTACAAAGGGCACACAGGGCGTAAAGCTTTCGCCGCCCCGCCCACCGCTTTTGCAAACAGCAGTTTGCCATGAGAAATGAGACTTACCAGCGATCTCCTGGCGGACTTGGCGTGCTTCTGGAACAGCTGCTGGCGCCCGGGCACGGGGCTCGTGCTGAGGCTCTGACTAGGGCTCGGGCCCGGGCTGCCGCTCGCGCCCGGCCCCGGAGCAAGCGCCCCGGACCCGCCGAAGGTGGCCGACGACGGCGTAGAGGAAGGCTGCTGATGCTGATCTGACTTCGGTGATGATGACGACGACGACGTCGTCTCCGCCAAGGAAGTCGCCGAGGCCGGTGTTCGGTCCCGTGGCCTCAGCACGACGTTCTCGTAGTCCACGCTGGACTCGGGGAGCGTGCGGCGCGAGGGAGAGGCTGCGGGCAGAGGAGGAGAGGAGGGGAGTCACTCCGCCGGGCCCCAGCGGCGGAGGAGGGGCGCCACTTGTCCCCAACGACCCCATGACACTTGGGCCTAACGGCCTCGCGTTTTAACACACGCTAGCCGGGGTACGCCCCGGGACGCTCGTCCGGCGACCATTTTTCCGCGGATGGCCGGGGATGGCTAACAGGGGTTAGTGGGGCGGCGCGGGCCCGGGGCGGTCGGGGCGTGACTCGCCTCCAAATTGGAGTCACCGCCGCCGGCCCGCCCGCCCCGGCGCCGCCCCGGGGCCCCGCCCGAGCCACGACATGGCATCGATTCGGCCATAAATAGCGGGCCGTACCCGGCGCACACAGGCGCGCATATGAGGACGTTGTGGACGCGGGGCGCGGGGCGCGTCGGTGCAACAACCGCCGCGGCTCGCTCCTTGGGCAGAGCAGAAACTCACGTGTCTGGTCCACGGCCTTGCACGAGCAGCAGGGCCCGCTGTCCGTCATGCTGTCCCCGGAGCCGGAAGTGTCCAGCCCGCTGTCCCGGCCCTCGGCGCCGTCGGCGGTCCCGCACCGGCAGGGCCCGGGCTCGCGGGCGATGACGATGTCGACCTGCGTGGGCCCGGCCCGCAGCCGCTGCCGCGCCGCCGCCATGCTCAGCCCGCGGAGCTGGCGCCCGTTCACCACGACCAGCTCGTCGCCCAGGCGCAGCTGACCGTCCCTGTGGGGAAGACATCAAAACACGGATGAAATGGCCGTCGGGAGCGGGAGTGCAGCGGGACGGGTCCACCCCTCCCACCCCCAACGTGATGGCTTCCATTCAGCAGCCGCGACCGCCCGTACCGTACGTGTATTGGTGTATTGAAATGGAGCGCTGCGGAGAGAACGAAAATTACGATTGTGGGCAATTGTGGCGGGCGGGTGGGGTCGGGAGGGTTGGTTGGCCTCGGCCTCGCGCTCATCCCCAGGGCCCCCGGCCCCGGCCCGGCCCGGCCCCGGACTAGGCTCCACTGGGCCCCACTCAGACGGCAGGAATGTGGACGAGCTGAAGGCAGATAAGGCGCAGCGCGGGGCGGGGGCGGGCCCCCAGGGGCGCCCGGCACAGCCCCACAGGGGGCCGGGGCGAGGCCAGGCCGGGCGGGGGCGGCGGGGGAGGAGGACCCGCCAAATCAGGAGCCTTACTAGGCCAGGCAATAAGGGTCTTGGCCTACTTGGCTCGGCCCGGGAGAGAGGGCCCACGGGCAGAGGGGCTCGGCTAGCTGTATCGGGCGCCGCCATCTCAACACGAATGGTGATCGGGATACACTCACCTGTGTGCGAGGCCACCGGGCACAACGTGCGCGACGACGTAGCCCTGGGCACCGCGGTCCGGGGCATCGCTCTTGGCGATGAAGATGCCCAGCTCCTCGGTGGGCGCGGCGCGGGTCAGGCGCACCAAGTGGAACTCCCGGCGGCGGCCAGACGGCGCCCCCGGCGTCCCCCGACCGGCACCGGGACTCGCACCTCCGCGCTGTGGGGGCGCGGGCAGCAGAGGCGGAGATGGCGGACGAGATGAGGAGGAGGTCACCCTGGGGCTGGCTGGGGACACGGTGCTTGCCACGCGTCGCCGCTGGAAGCGTGAGAAGATTTCGCTTATCTCCGACGATGACGATGAGGACTTGGTGGAAGCGCGGCTTCGGCGGGCTGTGTGGGAGCACATTGGCAAGTGAGCGAGGCTGAAGGGGCGTTAGAGGCTGCACAGTCAACGAGATCTCGGCTGGCGTACCGTGACTGCTGACTGTGACGAGGTCATCGGGGTCCTCGTCGTGGTCGAGAAGGGGGCTCCCACCTAGGAGCTCGCGGTCCAGGGAGGCGGAGCGCAGTGCCCGGGCCGCCGCGGTCGCGGCGCTCAGCGCCCCTTGCCCGCCGCCCCACGGCAGCGACCCGCGGCCCCCAGGACCCCCGGCGCCACCTCCAACGCCGGACCCCGGGAGGCTAGACAACGGCGTGCTCGCCGCATCGCTCACCAGAATGCCGCTGTCGCAGTCCTCTTCGCCGTCCAGGGCGCCGTTGGAGGGGCTCGGAGACAGCGGTGTGACCTGCAAAAGCGTGACAGCAACCGTAATGTGTGTCGCATAGAAGCGGATAGATGGACGGTCGGCGCGAGCAAAATGTTCCCGGCATTCTCTTAAAGCCATCTCGCGCGCTTGCTCCTAACGGTCCGCAGCCCCGGAGCCAGGCCGGGACTGCCGCCTCGGCATTTATAAACATGATGTTGATGGCGACGGGGTGGCGCCGCGCCGTACCATTCCGCTTGGCAGCGCCGTCCCTCATCTTCCCTGGTGACCTAGTAGGGG